TATTCTAGTCTTTTGTTATTATTCTACATAGCCTAAGTTATTCTAGCTTTCTCAAACATATTGCTGGTGTGAACGTGCTTTGTAGTCACAATGAGAAAAATTATATACACTGTATAAATGAAATGAAGAAAAAGTGTCATCGGCAACTATTTAGTTATTCCTATTATATAGCTGCACAATAGCAGATATAATAAATAAACTTAGTATTCCTGGACCTCTCTTGAACTTAGAATTCGAAACTAAACAATTTTCGGAATACTAAATATATTTATTATATCTGCTATTGTGCAGCTATATAATAGGAATAACTAAATAGTTGCCGATGACACTTTTTCTTCATTTCATTTATACAGTGTATATAATTTTTCTCATTGTGACTACAAAGCACGTTCACTACCAGCTAATATGTTTGAGAAAGCTAGAATAACTTAGGCTATGTATAATAGTAACAAAAGGCTAGAATATTTAAAGTTTTGTGTAATAGTAACAAAAGGCTAGAATATTTGAGGTTTTGTATAATAGTAACAAAAGGCTAGAATATTTGAAGTTTTGTGTAATAGTAACAAAAGACTAGAATATTTGAGGTTTTGTGTAATAGTAACAAAAGACTAGAATACTTGAGGTTTTGTGTAATAGTAACAAAAGACTAGAATATTTGAGGTTTTGTGTAATAGTAACAAAATGCTAGAATATTTGAGGTTTTGAATAAACAACATAACGCTACACAAAAATATATAGGTTAAACAGCCACCTACTATAAACTGATAGTATCGTATAAACAACACAACGCTACATAATAAAATATATAGGTTAAACAGCCACCTACTATAAACTGATAGTATCGTATCAACAACATAACGCTACATAATAAAATATATAGGTTAAACAGCCACCTACTATAAACTGATAGTATCGTATCAACAACATAACGCTACATAATAAAATATATAGGTTAAACAGCCACCAACTGTAAACTGATAATATCGTATCAACAACATAACGCTACACTAAAAGATGTATAGCTTAAACAGCCACCAATTATAAACTGATAACATCAAATAAACAACATAACGCAACACAATAAAATGTTTACCAACTGTAAACTGATAATATCGTATCAACAACATAACGCAACACAATAAAATGTATAGATTAAACACCCACCAACTGTAAACTGATAATACCGTGTAAACAACACAACGGTACACAATAAAATATATAGGTTAAACAGCTACCAATTATAAACTGATAATATCTTATCAACAACATAACGATACACAATAAAATTTATAGGTTAAACAGCTACCAACTATAAACTGATAATACCGTATAAACAACATAACGCTTCACAATAAAAATGTATAGGTTAAACAGCCACCAACTATAAACTGATAATACCATATAAACAACATAACGGTACACTATAAAATATATAGGTTAAACAGCTACCAACTATAAACTGATGATACCGTATAAATAATATAACGCTACATAGTAAAATATATTTGCTAAACTGTCACCGACTGTAAACTAATAATACCATATAAACAACATAAAACTATAATCCAAAACACGACACGTTAAAAATCCACCAACAATAAACTGACTAACAATTTATTTACAACAACCAATGAAAAACCTGTCTATGAAGCTTTTTTTTTTATTTATTTATAATAACGTTTTCCGAAGTACTTTAATGTCGTTTAAATAGTGTTCTTAAATTTGTCCCTGACTTGCAATAGTATTGTCATCCCAGAAGTACTGTACTTTATATTTTAAATATCGCGCAGTTCTTTTAGCACTATCGTAGGAAAATATTAAATCTACCTTTCAGCTGGAAGTTTCGAACTAGAACATTACTTAGAACCCTGTGGTTACGTCTATAATGTATAAATAACAGATATTAAAACAAAGTTTTCAGCATAAAATACCTGTCAGTTTAGTTTAATGTTGACTCGTGAAACTTGTAATCGTTTCCATCTTATAATTTATTTGTTTTATTTACATCTAGCGTCTAGCAGCCCTCACGTGACTTAGCGTTGTAGGCATAGTATAAATAGCTCATTGTGCAGCTTGTTGTTTTACAAACAAACAAACAAAATCGTTAATCTAATGCCCAAAACAAACTTTATCTGATTAGACCTCCGCCAGCAGTCACTTATACGTTACAAAGACATACTCCCTTTATTTGATTAGATGTCCGCCAGCGGTCATTTATACGTTACAAAGATATACTCCCGATATTTGATTAGACCTCCGCCACCAGCTTATGTTTTATCTTATTCTCTGTGTAGTAATAAAAGTGATATTTACTTTGAAAGGTTTTAGCAGGATTTGTTTTAATTATAATATTGACATAGGTATGAAATCGATTTGTTAAAAAAAAACTGTTCTAAACTGGTTCGAGAGATATGGAAGCAAACAGGCTAGGTTAAGGATATATCTAACTTGTGTTTGCACATAATTGGCTTAAGTGAATAAATAAACGTCACTTATGAAATGCCAAGCCTGTAGACGGCTACTGTTGTGGTAACCAATAGTTTTAGTCGATCCAACTCCGCGGCTGCCAACAAAGGAATAACCAAGCTCGAGCCGATGATTTGCTACCATCAACAACGTTGAGGAGGTGTTCCAAGCTTCTCTAGTGACTTGATTTATGTAATGATAAATATACACGAATACATTTGCGAATTCAAGAAAAGCGAACATTAATAGTAGCGGCAACTGTTTAAATAATGATTCCTTTAATCATTATTCTGTACTATTGCTACCTTGCATCTTGTAGGTCCAAACCTTCATATAATGTTTTGAATTGGAAATACCGCAGAGCCTAGGATTTCCTTGTTTGTATGTTTTATTATGTAGAACTAGTTTTAAGTTGAACGTGTTTACAACCGGGCATAACCATTGGTTTGGTTATAATTTACCTTAAATAATCTTTACTGATTCAATGAATAAGACCAAAGTAAAACTGATTAGAAGAGATTTACTCTCCAATTATGAACAATTACATCAACATTTTAAAACTAAACTTATCAAATGGCACCTCTGCTATACTTTGTACGTAGTTCTCGAGATAAAACATATTATTCTTTAAAGCTTCTCTTTGAATAGAGTTTAGGTATATATAACCACAGTTGTTGAGAGTAACACGATACAAATTCTGGTTTCCAGAACTCCGTTTCATCACAGTTTGGGTATACATGACCAAAGTTGTCGGGTGTAATACGAACCAGATGACCGGTTACAACTTTCGGTTTCCAGAACTCCGTTTCGTCACAGTTTGGATATACATGACCAAAGTTGTCGGGTGTAATACGAACCAGATGCCGGTTACAACTTTTGGTTTCCAGAACTCTGTTTCGTCACAGTTTGGATATACATGACAAAAGTTTTCCGGTGTAATACGAACCAGATGCTGGTTACAACTTTTGGTTTCTAGAACTCCGTTTCATCACAGTTTGGATATACATGACCAAAGTTTTCCGGTGTAATACGAACCAGATGCTGGTTACAACTTCTGGTGTTAAGACCTCCTAATTAAGGTATATATAACCAATATCATTTAAAGGATTTTAACACTTTGGTTTTTTAACCAGTTAGCGAGTATCGAACTTTATAGAAATTCATTTTCTTAATGTTTAGACAAATTGATTAACGATTTGAAACTGATTTCTAGTATCAATAAATTTAATGTCCAGGACTTTGTAGTCAACGTATTGGAACTACCTGTAAAATATACTGAAGTCGGATAGGAACTGCTCGTAGTAGTAAAACTGAAGTAACTTGAAAATAAACTTATTTTAGAGAAAACATATTAGTTATATTTACAATTTCACAGTCTACGCCAAATATTTGCGTGTAATCAGCTTCGGTGCTTGAGGAAATCGTGTTTTTTTTTTGTTCCAATCTTTCGTCTATATAAAATACACTCACGTACGATGATGAACACTTCCAAAATACTCTGCCGGTGAGATGTTTCCACCGGGGGTCGCCACAGTAGGAGAAAATACCGTACTGGGATACACTGGTCTCTGAATAGCTGCTGCTGCCGCCTGGCGAAAGTGATAGTCTAAATTTGTAGCGTAGCCAAGAGAAGAGTGCCCAGAAAGGCTAGCGTAGTGTGTTATCCAATAGGGGGACGTCTGGAGCATTCGCTGGACAGCTGCATAGTTGCCGGCCTCAGCAAGAAGTTCTAGACCAACAGCGGTTTGTCGCTTCCATTTGGTTCTGGAGGAAAAACAGTACAAGTTTATTCATAAGAAAATAAACTCTGACCAGTACACTGAATGTGTTTCGTATATGTGTAAATAAGTTGGTAAAGTTTTATTACTGGAAGATGTTTCATTAAATAAATACCTTTCAGGTCTTAATATTTCCAACTTATCAATTGTTGAAAATTTGTATATGCTGTTTTCTTAGTTGATATGTTTCCATGGACAGCTTCTATGTATCATTGTACTGAGTTTGGTAGGTTGCTACCTGTAAGTCTAATATGTTGTGTGTTGAAGTTGATATGTTTCCATGGGCAGCTTCTATGTATCATTGTACTGAGTTTGGTAGGTTGCTACCTGTAAGTCTAATATGTTGTGTGTTGAAGTTGATATGTTTCCATGGACAGCTTCTACGTTTCTTATTTTTGTTATGTTTCTTTCCTAAGTTTTAAGTAATTTTTGTGTTGGAATTTTTCTGTTTCCTTGGAGAGATCCTGTATATTTTTGTCCTCTCTCTATATTTTTGGATTTTGTGTTTGCTTCTAAAAGTTGTTATTTTTCTCAAGCAGGTAGCGAGTTGTAGTTCAATATTTACCGAACCAGAAGGGAAAATTTCAAAAAGATAAACTAAATGAAGACCTAGTTAGTAAAGGTTAAATTCCAACAAAAACTTGACCGATCCTCTACTACTTTAAAGCAATAAGTGAAAATCATAATTATACTGTCATTTTATACTCTCATATAGATTACTGCAATTGTTAGTGATGACAATTTCAGCACCACAGTAACCAATACCAACATAAAGAGTTTTAAACAGATAGCTCTATTGGTGGAAGAAGCTAACGATTCCCTGACACTGATCCTGCCTTGACTTAGATGAAAAATGGTTTTTATCATCTTCTGCTTGTTACATAAATGTTTTAATTTTTATGATTGTCGTCTCTAGTCTTCCTATTTTGTCATCATTTATCCTACATGTATCACGCAATCCTCCAATCGTACAAGTCGCCTTATCCAACGAGTTGAATCTCCAGTGTTATAAATGGGCGATAAAAGCAAAGTTCACTCAACTATCATCAGAAAATGTAAACCATTTTTTCGCCTCTTAACAATATGACCCTCAATTGCTCAGCGGTAAGTCAGTGGGCTTATAACGCTAAGAATAAAGTTTCGATACCCAAAATGTCAGATCACAGATGATCCATTGTGTAACTTTGTCCTTTAAAACAAACAAACAAGTAAAATACGTTTTTAATCGTTTAAAAATGTTCTTCTAAAAAATGAAAATTTCCACCTCACGTTACTTGTTTCATTAACGTTATATTTATTTCAGCTACTTCTAGGAAATTCCGTTAGGGCTTTAGTATGAGTTAAAACGTTCTATGGAAACGCCGAAGACAACAAACATGTTACATTTAATGGCAAATGTTTTCTTCAATTCGAAGAGAAGCAACGCTTGTTAAAGTAAAAACACCGAGGAAGTGGGAATGTCTTTGTGGCTCGTTATATAAACCCAATGATCAGGTCCTGAATACACTCAATTCACAAGAAACATTCTCTGGTCTTCTCTTTTGAGAAGCGTATTGACAGATTTGGAAGTTAAACATTACTGAACTTCATTTATACTGGCTATAGCCAACTAAGTATATACTGTCAAAACAAATCTGTCAATACCTGAAGTTAAACATTACTGAACTTCATTTATACTGGCTATAGCCAACTAAGTATATACTGTCAAAACAAATCTGTCAATACCTGAAGTTAAACATTACTGAACTTCATTTATACTGGCTATAGCCAACTAAGTATATACTGTCAAAAC